CAGACAAGGTTCTCACTTTTAAGGAGCGGATTCTAAAAGGGGTGGCAGAACATACACAGAGCAGCAAGAAAATACCCCCCAGCGGCAGGGCTGTGACATGGTGAGGTGAGCGGGGTGAAGGAAGGGCCTGCCCAGCAGGAGCTGAAGTTGCAGAGTTGCTGGCTTGGCCAGAGTGCAGTGCTGAAGCCCAGAGCTGAAGCCCAGAAAGGACAGGAAAGAAATGCCCCAAGCACTCTCCTCTGCCCTCTACTTTCTCCTGAGGACTCCCATTGGGTAAATACAACCTATGGACCAAAGGGTCTGAGTCCACAGGATATAGTCCCTGGGGGTCAGCCTCCTAGAGCACAGAGCAGGGCAGAGAAAGACGGAGCAGGATGAGAGGCATGGGGTTGGAAAACAAAAGAATAAACTCCAAATGGAGTCCATTAGAAAAACTTTTACCACTAAGCTGAGGGCAGGTTGTAAGGTGGGCTTATCTTTCTCTTCCGTACTAGAGAGCACAAGACTTGGCAAGAAGTAAATGCCTGTGAATGTAATTGCACTTTGTTGGGTTGGCTCTGCCTGAATGTGAGTGTGCTGGGAATTCTGGTTCTTCACTTGCCCTGGGGAAACATAGCACCTTTTCACGACGGTATTCCAACAGTGTGCTTGGTACATGGTTATGTTCAATGAACATTTGCTACCCAAGGAAAGAATTCTTTTTGCATACAGATTTCCTTTGTTATGCAAAACTGATAGAATAAAACACTTCTCAACTTGGGACTCTGCAACAAATGGAAAGGTTGCATAAAGGTTTGGGAAGAAAAAAAATGATTAGGGAAGAAGACTTGGGGGTCAGCTTACAGCCATTTCATTTCCCTTCTCTCTCTCTCTCCAAGGAATCCTCTCTTCTTATGGTGATTAAGAATAGATCCTTGCATTTTCCTCTTTTTAGACTCTCCATAACGTGTCTGTTCTCACAAACCATCCGTGCATTGGGAACCTCCTCCTATGGCTGGAATGAGAGGAATTCAGAAAAAGAATTTCTGAATGCAGAGCCTATGGTGATACCTAAATGGGAGCACAAAGCAAAAACAGCCAGACACAAAGATGTAAGTCCTCCATTCATATCACAGGACACTTCCCTCCTGTGGGTACATGTTGCAATGGTGGGGGTGGGGCTGGGGTACAGAGAAATGTTTGTTACAGAATCAGGGTCTTGTTTCTTCCATTTCAACATATCACCCCATCAGAGAAATAGTAATTTTAAAAGGTGTTTTTTGGGGACGCCTGGGTGGCTCAGTTGGTTAAGCGTCTGCCTTCAGCTCAGGTCGTGATCCCAGGGTCCGGGGATTGAGTCCCACATCAGGCTTCTTGCTCAGCGGGGAGCCTGCTTCTCCCTCTGCCTGAAGCTCCCCCTGCTTGTGTTCTCTCTCTCTCTCTGACAAATAAATAAATAAAATCTTAAAAAAAAAGGTCTTTTTTGAACATTGCTTCTATAGCTATGACTGAATGTTGAGGCAAAATCTGAATGGTCATTTCTCCAAGACAAATCAGCCTGACTTTAAAAGGTGTTTCTCTGAAAGGGATTAAGAAAAGAAGCCATATAGGATCTTTAGGTTAACCAGAGGCTACTGTATTTGTTCAAAGGTTGGGGAAACGCGCCCCCCTTCCTCACCACTCTTTAAGGAGCATGTCTGGTCTGAAACTGAGTGGAAGATTGGCATTGGCATAAGGAATAATCCATCACAAAGTTACAAAGCTTGGAGAAGTTTAAGAAAAAGTAATTGCTGCCATTTAGAATTTTCTAGAAATGACCGCCTCAACTGAGTGTTATTCTTTAACTACTAGATCAGATCAAAGATTGAGCATCTTATGTTGGTTACATTTCCTTTGCTCATTTGGAAGGCAAGGTGGAAGAGTAGGGCTGTGAGGGTTTGCTGGGGCAGCAATACAATTTCATTTCCTAAAATGTAGTTTCATTGAAAATGATGACAAACCCAAGTCCGTGCCAGGCTGGCTGTGGTCAGGGTAAGAAGGAGGCCAGAAACCACCACACTTAATCTATGATTCCTAAGTGGGCAGGGCTGAGATAGACCAAATGTAGGCTTTTGTCTGAGCTACAAGCAAGTCACTGTTGTTTTATACATTTTTCCTTTCCTAGTCTGCAAGCTACTGGAACAGCTCTTCAATTATTTGTCATTTCTTTTGTTGTTGTTGTGTTTTGTTGAGGTGAATCATCATGAAAACTAACTAGAGGAAAAAACCAAACACCCCAATCATCACACAAAGGACACTTCAAAACTACCCACATTTGATCATTGACTAAGCTCTTACTGAAAACAGCTTTATTGATAGTGATAAGGATACAGATACCACATACATTTTAGTTTGTTGTTCCTTATATAATACCAGAATGTTTTAAGCAAAGAATTTGTTTTGCCAAAATTTGCTGAATAAATACAAAGTTTTTTTTTTTTTTTTTTTTTTTAAGGAGTGTGCAAGACAAGTATTTTATCTCAAATTCTCTGGGAGGGAAATTTAGATGGTCTTTACCCTCTGAATATGCTGCAGGGTAAATCTTTAATGTTTTAGATTCTTTAATTCTTATAATTACCACGGAGGAGTGTTTAGGTAATTGTGCTATAGTTTTTACCGCTATGAAGAGATATACTGAAAAACAGTTCCTTGTAATGCTGCCTTGTGCTAGAGAACGTATTCATCAGTGGCTCAGATGAGGACATAGCTCATTCAGAGAACATTCGTTCAGAAAAGAATGCAGAAGAGTCCTTCAAAGGAGATTACATACACATGTTTCTTTGTAACTCAGGGAAAAAATTAAGCAAAGTGATTCTAGTTTCTTTTATCTAGTATCTTGCTTCAATTTCTGAAGATATTTGGCCAAGATAACCAGGAAAAAATTGACCTTTTAACACTTACGTATTTCCGGGGAAGCCTCTAGTTACATGCATGTAATCGGTGCTCCACCCTAAATCAGAACCTTTCAGGACTTTCTCACTTCCTTCTCTCCCCAATGACACCTCTTCGCTCTCTCCCACTCTCGTAACACCCCACTACCATTGAATCACTGATTAGAATTATGTTAATCTGTACCATCACTGACTTTCTATCCTAAGCCAGTCTTACACCAGAGGAAGTAAACATAAAACTCATCCAATGCCACTGAAAGCAACTGTGCGTCAGGGACAACAGCAGAGCACCAAGAGTCTAACTAAAAGCAGACAGACTACATTCAAGTCTTGCTTCTTCGAGACTTGCACATCAGGTCTTTGGCCCATTCAGAAAAAGAGAGCTTATTATTTCAGCTGCTGGGCAAGTTGCTACTGCTCTGATGGACTGAACTGATGCTTTTATTTAATCGCAGGACTTTGCGATTACAAAAATAGTACGCATTACAAAAATAATATGTCCTTTTCTTTCAGAAAAATAAAAGGAGGTCCAGGTTTGGATCCTGAGGCTGGGAGTGTAACTGAATGTAAACTTAAAACACATTAAAAATGAAGTCGTTTTCCAGCTGGGAAGCATGGACAAACCGTCACATTTTCTAGGAGCGATGGCTCCGACACATGAAACGGGACACACATTATTTTGATTCTATAGACCTCCATGTCTTTCAGTTGTCAGGGAGGGATGTCCCAGGATATAATACCTTCACCCACCCTATGTTCCATGCTTTCTACCAATTTGCTATGCCAGAAATTCCAGTATTTGAAATTCATGTTATTGTCCTAACTGTTGTAACAGAAGATAGAACAGCAATGCACCCAGGAACCTGGTAAGCCCAGACCGGTGTGTTTTCAGAGTCTTCAGATAAACAATGTTGAAAATACATTACATGGTCATTTCAAATGATTAATCCAGCTCTAACATGTCTTCAGTCTTGTGTCTAGAAAGCCACTGCCAAGTCTGTGTACAACCTCTTACCAAGCTCTGAAGGCTGAAAAATCCTCTAGTTTCAATCTCTCCTCATTCTTCCAAGATAAAATATTAGAACTGATTGATTCCTATTTCATTCCAAGCCTTAGGCCCACCACTTCACAAAACCCCTAGGATCTCAGTGGGAGATGCATCTACTAGTGTACATCAGGGATTATGCCTATTTGCCCACTTATGACCTGTGATCCATAATAAAACACCTTTGTTTTCCTCTCAAAATTTATAACATACTACAGGCTGCTCAATTGTACAGGAATATACATTTATACCAAACTAAAAGATATCATAGTCACCCTCACATAGGTTTTGTCAGTTGTGGCCAAAATAATTTATTAAACATGAAAAGTTTATTTTACCCAGGATGCTGCAAGGACAAAAGTTATCTATAGTTTGCACAGTGATAGCTCAAGGGGCTCAATGATTTAACTTGCTCCATGAACTAGTTTCTCAGACAGCTTAATTTTCCAGTGTGGACAGAGAAGGAGTCAAGGGAATAGGTGCCCTTAGATCTGCTCCTACTTGGAGAAGCTCCGAATGTTCTGTGTGTTGAGGGGGAGGAAACAGCCCAGTGTTTTTACATTAATAATGCCTCGTTCTCAGCTTACAGTGTTGTACGCTTTACCAAGTGGTACCATTAAATACGCAGAGATTGAACTTCTCATGAGGGGCAATGATATAAAATTGTTCCACAAAGTGTACTATATGAACCACTTTTCACAGTGCAAATAAGATATTTTAAATATAAATATTGTAACTCTAGCAATAACCTATCTACACAAGGTAGGAGAAATGGGATTAATGAAAACCCAGTTAGATTTCCACATATCTCATGGTTAACCATTTAAATAGTTTTATTTTTCAAAACCCAATTGCACATAACCCATAATTGATAGGCCACGTCTCCAAAACAAATAAACCACCAAAGAATAAAGTGATAAATTATAAGAAAGGAAAATATGTATCATTTACTACAGTCATTCCCTTGCTCCAAAACTTGGCAAATATATAAGAAAAATGATATCAGGTGGATACACTTTAATTTGCAAAGCTAATTTGGAGCAGATGACGTTAAAACATATAGAACAGAATGGGCACTGATATTTCCATGTGAAATGAATGTGTTAGAGTTTTAATTAAGAAATCAGGAGGATTGCTATGAAATTGGAAACAGTGACATTTACCAACAGGAGAAGCCGTTTATCCTGTTATTGCCAAACCCAAGAATTCCAAATGTTCTCTTCATTCTCATCCATATAAAAAATGGGGGAAATCAAATTATTGTTATCAGCTGCATAACCTTTGGGCTAAACTTTAAGTTAATGGTCCTTATGGCCATAGTCTTATTTGGTGTTCTTCCTGGGGCTTATATTAGGGTCAAGGTTGCATTTTGGCGTAGTTTTTAGGGTCAGGGTAAGGCTCCCATGATACTCACGATTCCTTTAATAGGGGACTAAGGTTAAAGTGCAGATACTTCTAGGAGAAACAACAAAATGACCTAAATTTACACCATAAGCTAAATGACTAGTAGTTCCTTCTTTGAGAGCAGTATTTTTCCATAGCAAATACCCTGGGGGACTGAGGCACAGAGGAAGAGAATAAGGGATAAACCAAAGGGATCAGTGTGACAGTTCCAGGGTGGAATCCCTGTTAGTTTCCAGTCAAACTTTGTTTTAAGCTTTATGACTATCATGGGACGCCTTTCAGTATTCTTTACTCTGTCATGTATAGAAAAAGAAACTGCATTTAAATGTAGAATTAAGTCTTTACGGATATAGATGGACTTCCATTTTAAAATAAAAGCTATAAATAAATACTTTTAACTTCCTAAAGAAAAAGACGAGAGAAGAAGATAAACTTTCGGGCATGAAATTGCTTACTCACATATGCTTCATGTGTACTAAAGGGTAGAAGAAAAATCTCAAATGTGGGTGTAACCGCTATCCATGAAGGGAACATGCCCCGGTGGAAGAGTGCCTACAACGAATTCTGTCTGCCACCCAGTGGCCGCTGAAATAAATGCTTTGTTTTCTTTGTTGGCCAGGGCCCTGTATTCGGCTTTAAAAAAAAGAAAAAATAAATAAATAAAAGACACAGAGGTAGATTACGCCCGCCATACCAGGAATTTTAAAACTACCAAGACATACGCCTCGATATAGTGTAAGATACAATCACTGTAGTAAATGTTATATATTTTCCTTTTCGCTAACCCAAAGGTAACCCAGGAACACCTATTTGCCCTTCCTGCGTCCCCGCATCTACCTGGGTTCAGATACTGACTGGCACCGAGGACACCGAGCTGGCTCGGGATTCCCGGGTCACGCTGTTGGGCATCGAGAGGGTGCAGCAGGACACGCCCACGGTGGCCTCGGGCAACTCGTCGTCCTCGGTCCACTGGTTGAGCTCCGGGCTGAAGCACTGGATGCACTTCTTGTACTTCTTCTCGCCCTCGTTCCAGCCCCCCAGCAGGTAGGCGCGGCCGTGCAGCGCCGAGGCGCCCGCAGTACTCACGCCCACCAGCAGCGGCGCCGCGAAGCTCCACTGGCCGGTGGCCGGGCTGTAGCACTCCACGGTCAGCACGTCCACGCGTTCCCCGCGCGGCCCCAGCTGGCTGCCCCCCATCACGTACACCCTGTCGCCCAGCGTGACCGCGCAGTGCCAGCCTCGGGGCGTGCTCAAGCCCGGCAGCTCCTGCCATGAGTCGCCGGTCGGGTCGTACGCGCACACGGAGCGCGAGTACGCGCTGCCGATGTACCCGCCGGTCACCAGTACGCGGCCGTCGGTGACCGCGCTGGCGTGGCAGCAGCGCGCCACCTCCAGGGGCGTCTTGGGCTGCCACTGATTGGTGGAGGGCACATAGCACTCGAGCGAGGCCAGGCTGCCCTCGGTATTGCGGCCGCCCACGGCGTAAAGGAGCCCGTTGAACACGCTCAGGCTGAAGTGCGTGCGCTTCTGGTTCATGTTGGCCAGGTGTATCCAGGTGTTGAAGCGGGGATCGTATCTGAAAATGGCAGAGCAAGTGTGACAGCCTTGTTGGCGGCAGCCAGGGAACCCACGTGACTCCACAAACCATAGCGTGGAAATTGTGACCCTCTCCATGCAAGGAGGCTACGCTACGCACAGAGCGCAGCTCCGCACCTGGAGGCTGGTGTTTGTTTCTCAGCCAGTGAATAAGTGTGACACTTGATAAAGACCAGACGGGCATTGTGACTCCCCCTAGTCCCGTTTATAAAACCACTGCCTTTATCGGGCCTCTTGGAGAAGTCCCCACAGAGACCAACCTGTCAGTCCCTCTTCTTCCATACTCCACACTGTCCATCATCGGGGAGGGCTTATGAGATGCGCTTGTGCGGGAGGCGGTGGAAGCTGGGTATTCGTGGCAATCAGAAAGGGAACACTGCCACATTTAAGTCAGTTCCACACATCTTCAGACACCAGCCATCCCTGGCTTGTTCTTACTGCTTAATTAAGATAGGAGTTGGCTAATTGGATTTCTCCATGTCTGGAAAACTTCTCATGGATACACCTGACCTGATCACTGCACAAGTAAAGCTAAGTCACTCAACCAAGTCTTCTATTCTCTGTTTAGAATGAGATCAATGGAACTCGTGTCCAAAAGCATCACCAGAGGCTTAACTTTTGATATTTCTCTATTTTCTAGCACTTATTAGTAGGTAAGATTTTTTAGTTTAGAGATATATTTTTTCAGTGTTCTATATCACAGTTATTATACCATAACCACTGAAATCAATACTGCAAAAACAGTTACTCGAATACTTAACAGAGTTATCAGCAGGAGGAAAATAAGCAGTCATAGAAAAACTGTTTTATCTGTTTACGTAGTTTCAAAGTATTGTAAACACAGACCTCCCTGCATTAGTTTGATGTTCATTTTTCTCCCATTTAACCTCCAAATCAAAACTTAACTATACTTATAAATTAAAGGGCAAAAATCAGTTAATTGTTTGGATTCATTTAAATGACACACAGACATATGATGAAATAATAAAGAATATTTTTCATGACATACTTTATAAATTTTCAGATCTTGCTCATTAGTTATGTTCGACTTTGTATTTCTACCATGATATAAGCATGACTTCCTGACATTTCATATATATGAGTGTTTTTTATTATAAATATACAAAAACACCATGGCACTTGAATTCCATTTTCTGAAGGATATATTATACCTTTACTGTTTCTACATGCATCAAAGATATTGACATTTTTTATAGTATTCAGCCTTCAAAAAATATTTAGAACTAATTACCTGCCACATTTTAATGATCTCATTGTATTTGCCAATTAGGAATCTGACAGTCATTAGTAACAGTCACTTAAAAGAAATTTTGTATTATTTTGATTTTTCTTACCACTTAGTGTTAAAAACTAAATCTGTACCCAGTTTCTTTTCAGAAAAACAGTGTACTGTGAAGGGTACCTTACCTTACTGAGAGAATGTGTACCACTCACTTGTGGCACAACTTGTCTAGGTATCAGATTTCTCACATGTAAAATCAGCATAACCACATCTTCCCGGCTCATTTCATAGGCTTATTCAGAAATACAGAGTGCATTTTATATATGCACATACTTCATGTAATGTGGACTGTTGTATATATGTAATGTGGCATTATTATTATTATTGATTTACTGAGCCAATGAACTAAGCTAACAGGCAGGACTCATTTACTTCTATGTCAGGGCAATTTCCTCATAATATTGAACCATTTCAGTTCCTAATAAAGAATCAAATACCTGCAAAAATTGCTGACTGCATGCTTGGCTTGATTTCTTGCATCATTCTGGTCTTCACCACCGGCCACATAAAGAAATCCGTCCATCACAGCCACACACTGATTAAAACTCTTGGCTGGCATTTCTGTCAGCTTGCTCCATCCGTTTTCAGGGTCTCTGTACAGGATGTCTCTACTAAGGGACTTCTCAGTAAGGCCTGGACGTCCCCCAACAGTGACAAGGACTCGACAGCCCCCGCGGATTCTCGTGCGCCTAGACTGCAATGTGTTTTGATGATATGGAAGTAAGTGGTAATTCATAGCATCTACAAGAAGTTTGTGGCAATCAGCATCTTGCATCATTCTTGGTACAGACTGAACATAATTGACCAGGTCTTGTGCAGAGATGGTACCAAAGCGGATATTGCTCAGAAGATCTGCAGCGTATTTCACTCTCTTTTGGTCAAATTCTAACCATTTCATTGCAATCTGGAATGCTACTATTTCAGAAGGCAACTGTAAGTCATCATCTATAAGAAGTTCATTAATTTGCTCAAATGTAAGTTTCAGAAACTGATCGGATTCTGAAAATTCAAGGAAGTTATCCCGGATAAATTTTTGGGCGGCTGCTTTAGCATTTTTCAGGGAGTATGTTTCAGCAATGTTAGCAATGTACATGCAATTCTCAACACTCATCTCTCGGATCAGAAAATCACTGCACATCTTTACAAGGGTATGGATCTGAAGATAGACAGCAGCAGAAATAATGCTTCCTATTGTATACAAAGAGAGCGTCAGCTTTCCGGTGTAGGCGTATGTGATGACAGTAGCCAGGCCCAGCGGTGAGATATCATTGAGATCCACCCTTTGGGTAGATGGGTCTTTTTTTAGGATGTTGTAAAAGTATTCACTGCACGAAGCCATCACTGACTTGTGAACATCAAAGGACTTTGTTTTGGTGCCAATGACTAGGTCGCAAAGGAAGTTCTCCTGCCTCATTTTACTTAAGCCTTCCAAGAGGTTGGGGCCATAAGAAGCATCTGTTAATTCAGAAGAAATACAGCTAAGGCCATTGCCTCCCTCTAGGAGCCCATTCAAAGTATTTAGTTTGTTTAGGGGGCTATCTTCTACAATTATGGTCATCTCATTGATATCTCCTTTGCTCTTTCTGACAGTCTTCTTTTTGGGGGCCATGTTGGCAAACACACTGGCACAGGCAAGATCTTGCTAAAAAAAAAAAAAAAAAGCATGGTTTTATTTTTTTTATTTTTTTATTATGTTATGTTAATCACCATACATTACATTTTATTTTAACGGCGCTTTGGACTTTGAAATGCTACATTGAGAAACTGTTCTTTTTCATAATAGTTTTTAAATGACATAATGTATATTAAACCTCAAAGTGGATTTAAAGACTTACATTGAACTAAATGCACATTTTATTGATGCATCAAGCACTGAAGACAATTCTAGAAAGATTTATATTATCAAATGAGACCGCTCAATAGCTATACTGCTAAGTCATTTTAAACAGCAGAAGTGACCAAATACTCTCTGATCTAGCTGTACAGCAATTCTAGAATAGTAGTTAAACATCATTTGAATGGCTTAGTTTACTCTCCTGAAAAAGTGAATTATAACTCTGAAGTTTTTCTCAAAAAAATGCTAAAATTCAGGAATCCATGTAAAATGTATTATATATCAGAATAACTGTGGAATTTAAAAGTCAACAGGTATGGACTTGTAGCAATACATTTGTTCAACTGATTTCTACTCTACATAGGCACTAAAATAACTTCCAGATGGATGAAATCTCTAAATCACACTCACACACACACACACACACACACACACACACACACAAACTAGAACAAAGTAGGTTTTTGTTTGTCTTAATTTTAGGGTAGGAAAGGCCTTCTTAAGCATAACCCAAAACCTAGAAGCCATAGGGAAAAAGGCTGAAGTATCTGAAAACAAAAAAACAAAAAGACAAGAAAACAAAAAAAACCCCAAAACTTCTATAAAACATCAACTATTTAAAAGACAAGCAACTGATAGTGAAAGATGTTTGTAACATTCTTGACAGATAAAAGGTTAATTGACATGTTTACAGAGCTCCAATAATTAGTGATTAGGAAAAGGTAATCCAAATAAAAATTATCAAAGACTGTGACTAGGTAACTAGGTTGTTCACAGAAAATAAAATAGAAATAGTTGATAAATACTTTTTTTTAAAGATAAACTAATTACAATCAGGGAACTGTCAACTGAAGTACAGAGATCTTTTTTATTTTTTTGTGGACACATTTTGCATATCAGATGGTTAAAATATTTTTTAATATTCACAATATCAGATATTGCTGTGGTACTCTCCATACATTATTGATGGGAGTATAATTGATACAGTCTTTGCTTTGACATTAAATCTAAATCTAGGAATGTGCTCATAGAGATATATCCTCATAAAGATATATTTATATGGATAATAACCATTTCCACTATCAATGTTAGAAATATTTGCGCCAGTTTTTTATTTGTTTGTTTTGAGAGCGAGAGAGTGAGTGTGAGTGAGCAGAGGAGGGGCAGAGGGAGGGGGAGAGAGAGACCCTTAAGCAGACTCCATGCCCAGCGTGGAGCCCAACATAGGCTCAATTTCATGACCCTGAGATCATGACCTGAGCCAAAACCAAGAGTTGGATGCTTAACCAACTGAGCCACCCAGGCACTCCAATATTTGAACCAGTTTTTAAACCTGTATGAAGTGGTCTAAACCTTTAAGGTAGCTCTGAGCAGCTTTAGTATTAAACAGACTTGAAATAAAGTAAGTTTAGCAAATACATGCATAGCCCTTAAAATATCATTGATTAAAATGTTTTAGAATTTTTCAAAATATTGAGCATAGTCATCAGAAAATGTTATACTTGGACTTTTTCAATGGATTTTACTTACAGCATGGTAGCATTCACTTTTTTGTGAGATTACTCTTTTTTTTTCATTTTTAAGATTATAAAATCAGTCTGTGTAAATTCAACAATTCACAGTTTGGTATGTATTGTTCCAGATAATTTGCTATGCTTATACAAACTCGTATCTGCACACTTTTGAGCAGTGGTGTGCTGATAAATCAGCTCTCTAGAGGGGGGAGCCCTTCTTTGTAAGGTGTGGATTTCTTTGGGCAAATACACTTATTGTAGCTGATTTTAAGCTATCTACTGCTTAACAACCCGCTTGTCAAATTCCTGAAAGTGTGACAATTGGTTCTCATGAGCCACTACAAGTCAGCTTCAGCGTACCAATCTATGAGAACTTACATCAAAGCATGTTTATGCTTTATTATTCAGCAGTTTGCTTTTTTCACCTAGCAGTAACAATGTACCTCCTTCCATATCAGTACACATATAAATTTACACTATTCTCTGTAATAGTTGCATAGTATCCCATACTAAAGATATATTAAACTTACGCTATTCTTTTCCTACTGATGGACATTTAGGTATTTAGGTGTTTCATAGTTTATTGAGGGGTGTGTGTATGTATGTGCCTCTTTTAAGTCACACTGTTGAGTTCATCCTGAAGGGTGAAACTTGGCTTTGATCCCCCCTGAAAGGCCCTTCAATTTAATTACTGGAATGTATGTTTAAAAATTCCATAACCTTTCTATTGTGTTTGTCCTTATTCCTTTCCACATGGAAGAAGCATAGTAAGTAGGTAGGAAACAAAGATCTATCTCTTTGCCAGGGCTTTTGTCTTCCTCATTAAGCTCAAATTGTCATATTCATATTGATATTTGGTTTACGAACTGCAGCACATTTGTCCTTCCTCCTTCTTTCTTGCAAGCAATGCCAGATGCAACCTTACCTTACGAAATAGATTTTCAACCCACCATCAGTTTAGTCTTCAAATGCATTTGACTTAGGTGGTAAGTGTCCCCGTGATGGATTTTTCTGGGGAAAATTTTAAAAAATTTTGTTCAGCAAGCAGTTATCAGACACCTCCTGCTGTGTAGGCAGCACTGTGCTGGAAATGATGGAGCCATAGAATATGGAAGTTATCTGAGACAGACAAGACATGACAAGTACAAAATGGTAACAAGTAACTACGCAAGCACAGCAGAATATTTTTTTTTAAGCATCAGTTTCTACCATCTGGAGTAGAAGCACCAATGTGTCTTTGGGAAAAGTCTTGTCTATTTTCCTAGAAGAACCCCTTTGGAGAAGTTTCTGCTCATGTAGTGTAGGGCTCATAACCACTCATTATTTTGAAGGAAATTCTGAACTTGAGGAGTAACATGGATGTTTTAGACTGAAATGGTAAATATTCTGTTTATCTATCATTAAATGATTACAGTAGACCCTTTTTATCTGTGGTTTTGCTTTCCTCGGTTTCAGTTACCCATGGTCAACTATGGTCAGGAAGCAATAATCCTCCTGACATATCATCAGAAGGTCAATGGTAGCCTAATGCCACATCACAATGCCTACATCGTTCCCCTCACTTCATCTTATCATTTAGGCATTTTATCATCTCACATCCCCACAAGAAGGGTGAGTACAGTACAATAAGCTATTTTGAGAGAGAGACCATGTTCACCTAACTTTGATTACAGTATGTTGTTATAATTGTTCTATTTTATTATTAGTTACTGTTGTTAATCTCTTACTGTGTCTAATTTATAAAACAAACTTTATCACAGGTATATATGTATAGGAAAAAACATAGTATATCTAAGCTTCAGTACTGTTTGCAGTTTTAGGCATCCCCCGGGGGGCTTGGAATGCCTCCCCTGTGGATAAGGGGCAACTCCTGTTTTCGCTGGCAGCATACCAGGTGGTATTTAAATATTCAACAACTGATAAAACAGGGCACCTACTAAACAGTATGGATTCATAGGCCACAGTTCTGGAGCTGAGTTCCAGAAGCTTTCCTGGAGGACTCTGTGTAAGTCTTCAGTTGCTGGATAATAGTGGGGGCTTCTCAGAGAAGGATGGAGGGGTGGGAGGGATTCAGGGGGAGGTCAGGGCAGCAACTACTTGGCTGTTTATTTGCCCATTTACCAACTCTTTACAGAAGGATCTCTCTATTTTAGCAACTGGTATACTGTACTGAATCATTCTTGTCCTTGGGACAGGGTGTAATTCTGAGGTTTCTGGAGAAAAGAGAGAATCTGGCCTCGACAACACAGCAATATGATGGGGCTAAGGAGACAAAGGACCAGCAGGGAATTCCAAAAGAATCCAAAGGTGGACTGTAGGAGCACTAATATATGATTTCCAGTTTCAAATCTTCTTTTTCTACATTGTTATTCTCCTATATCAGACTTAATTGAGGTATCAAGTATCCTTAATTAAGTTTGATAAATTGCTGACTAGCTCACTCTGCCTTTAGGAATATCATATAGTATTGTTGGGAAGACCCCAGCCTCTGAAGGACCACTTAAGTTTAGGAAGGAGCTCTAGGGAGTGAGGGGGTGGGCATGGATTGGGGGGGTAGGGGGAGAGGTAGGGGAAACTACCAAGGGTCTATAGGGAGTGTAAAAAGCAGGATGACTTTGTAGAGGAGTCAAGAGTTGGAAAAAGAAATAGCTTAGGGTGAGTCCCCCTACCCTTGCAAGATTTTGGGGTGTTTTTTGTTTTTTGGGGGCTTTTTGGTGGTTTTTCACCTAAGAGCAGACTGCAATTGGTACTTTACAGGGCAGCTACAACTCCAAAAGGAAGTATTGCTGCATGGAAGAAGCAGAGGATAGAGTTTGTGGCAACCACATCCTCTGGAAAGTGAGCTGGGAATTTTGGGAAAGAGAGAGCCCAAAAGGGAAAACTCAATGGAAACTTAAAGCTTCAGGAAGGAATGAAGAGCATCAGAAATAATAAATACCTGGATGCATATAAAAGATTTTTTTTCCCCTCTGAACTTCTTTAAAATGAATATAACTCTTCAAAGCAAAACTGATAACATTGTCTTGTGGGGTTTCTAACATTTCTAGATGTAGCACATATGACAATTACAGGATAAAGGATGGGGTGATGGTAAGTGAATCTATACAATTACAAGGTTTCTATAGTTTACGTAAAGTGGTAAATATTAGCTTTTGTAGCTGTGAGAGTTTAACTTTGCATATTGTAATCTCTAGATTAGTGCTGGCCAACAGAAATATAACATGAGTCACATATGCAATTAAAAAATTTCCAGTAGTATGACATTAAAATGTTAAAAAGAAACAGGTGAAATTA